AAAAAAAAAAAAAAAAGTATTATAAAATATCAAGCTAGGAGAAAAAAAAAAATAAAGGTCTTTGAAGAGAGAGCGAGAGCGAGAGCGCGCGCGAGAGAGAGAGAGAGAGAGAGAGTGAAGACCGATCAAATTTTGTATTGAAAAAAAAAAAAAGCGTAAAGATTGGGTATAATTGTTTTTAACGTATCCTAGTATGCGTCATATCAAGTGGGCGAAATAATAACAAAAAATATTTAAATAAAAATTTCTAACAGTGTGGTTAAAAATGGATACTTTTATTCCAAATACAAAATGTATTATATATATAAATATATATATAATATATCTGATTCAATCTTTCGAGTTCGTAAGAAATCTTGCAAATATTTTACATATAATCTTAAGAAAAAGATAAAGATTTCGTTAATCTTTTCTACACTAAATGTATTACCAACGTTTAAATTATTAAGTTGGTATTACGATATCCAATAACGCAAGCTAAATCTATGTATATACAATAGCTATAATATTTACAAACTTTTTATTAACGATAATATCACCATGCTTCATTTCTATTGGTTATGGCTACACGTGTTCGTAAAAATGAAAAAAAAAGATCTTTCCTTGTGTCTCATTGTACAATTAATTCGATAGAAAAGTGACTTCACGATTTTGATTCATTTGTTTCATTTGGATAATATTTAATATTTTTCGTAATTATTGCTCGATCGATAATTCAAAAGAAATTATTCCTTGCAGCCAAGTCCAGCTGACCAATTGCAAATACCACCGACTGGGTCAAAAGATAACCTGTCAGGACAAGTGTACTCGGCTCCGATCACCAATCCGTTTACCATTCTGGCGCAAATAATGAATTTTTTACAAGAGTAAGGGTGAGGAAAATTGCCTTGGTCCAAGCATCGAAAAGTTCCTTTACTCGTGAGAAAGAGTTTTCCATTGAAGGTTGATTTTCCGATCACCGGTTCCTCCTCATCCTCGTAATAATCGTAATCGACAACAGGCGGTCGTTGTCTAGGCCTTGTTGTCGTCGAGTTTCGATGAGTTTTATCCTTCGTTCCCGGCTTCTGTCGATCACTGAGAGCCGGTGTAAACCTGAGGCTAGCCCTGCTTGTCGTTGCATCTGTTCTAGGTGCAACCGTAGTGCTTATTTTGCGCTTCAGGGCGTTCCGTAACGATGGTCGACCTGATCGTTTAACTCTATTAGTTATATTCGATCCCCAATAAAATAGACTAGAAGAATCCCGTTAGAAACCCGTGGAAAAAAAAACATAAAACATGATTTATGTCCAGCGTGAAGAACAAGATATGCCTGCACGTGTAAAGATGCAGACGAGAGGAGGGAAATAGTATCAATGTGCTTGAAAGTTATAATTGTATTAGTAATTCGCATTATGCTGTTGATACAGTGATGAGAAAGGCGAAAAAAACATGATTACGATATATAGGGTGAAGATATATAGTATAGTAAGGACAAATAAGATTAGAGAAACGGGAAAGACTATTATGAGATCGACGAAGTTGAATTCAGTCAAGAGATGTTGATTAGCTTCTATTAGATCCCCAAAAAATGATATACCTCTTCGAAAGTAATAACAATGTGATTAGTTCTTGATGGTAAACCTCGTTTCCATAAAAGGTTTCACAGTGGTTTGAGTTTCAGTATGGAAGAAGTACACAAAAATTAGAAGTCAGTAAATGAGAGTAAATTTCGACCAAGTGATACCGACTGATTCGCCAGGAAGAGTAGAGGAAATTATAAGTCGAAGATTACGGTGCGATGAGAAATTATATCCCAAATGATCCATGAACGGAAGTGAAATATGCGCGCGATTTAATATTTTAGTTTAAATAAATTAAGAAATCTGATGGTGGAGGATTTAACAAGTTGTGTGTACCGGTGGTTGATGATTGCACAGACGGTGGATCCGCCAATGTGACCGCGATTTCTTGTGCTCTACTATTTTGATCGATATCTTTCTCAGGTTTCGAAGTTTCCGTTCTTTCATCCACGGTATCTAAAACAATATGCAAATGTCCTTATAGATACATATATAGCTTGTGCAACCATTTCTAATTAAAAATTTGTATTTTGTTCAACCATTTATTAGAAGAAATTTGAATTTGAAATATTTCGCGCGAAAATTGTTCCGCGTAAATATTATCCTGCGCAGTCGCAATAATGGAAGATGGTATGACACCTGGCGGTGATCGTGCGATGCAATACCAGTTGGCGGGACATGATACGATTGAGTTATTAAATTGTTTTAAACAGTGAAATATCGTTAACGTGTTTCATATTTGTCGTGTATCATCACTTACCCAGTGTTTCGTTAACAACAGTTTGTAATTTTCCATCGGTCAGATGAGTCTTTCGATGATTCGCGAATGTGTTTGTAGTTTTGCTTTGCAATGGCGTCAAAGTGAATGCAGTGGGTTTTCTCAATCTGGTCGACGACAAATTTCCTGGTGTACGAGATGTTACCGTATTCTTCGAGGAATTCACCTGTTCGTAGAGCACACGTACATTGTATATCTATCCTAATCACCGGGATGGTAAGTACAATTTTGCGATCAGTCAATAAAAAATATAAATTGATTGTCAATTGTTATAAGTCATCGTAGAGATTGAAATTATTATAAAATATTTTATATATATCAAGCATTATAGAAGAATTCTTACAAAATTCATCTATAATCGATGAAAATGTTTCGAAAAAATATTTAGAAATTGATCGAATTATGGCGCGATTAATTTAAATTTGAAACATGTAGTATATTTGTCAATACTTCGTAGATGGCGCTTTGTAACGCTCAGTCGTATCAGTGACGTATCAAAAATCAAAAATCCCTTATTTTATAAATATTTGAACTTTTTTTATCAATTTGACGTAAAAACTTATATCAATTGACACGTTGGTTTCGTTTTATTCTAAGTAATCGTTCGAACTAGAAAGCACTGAAACGATACATAAGAGAAGGAAAGAAAAGAATAATGAGAGAAGAAGCTCGAGAGATAACAATGGCAATTCTTGTGTTAAATTGCTGAATTTCCTAGCTAAGCATTAACCCTTTGCACTTGTTGATATCTTATTGTATAAGCGGCAATGAACAAAGGTTATAGAAAAAGTTTCAATAATTGTCCAACTCGCTTTACCTTTAAAAAATGAGCCGAGCACAAAGGGTTAAAATATATCATAAGACGAACATATAAAGTAAGCGTAGCGCAGGCGCTTTAAAACGTGCGACATGCGCCTCGTAGAGAGAAATATAGTGTTAATTGATTTGAAAATAGAGTAAAATCAGCGGTAGATGAAGATAAGAACGCATGATGGTAGAAAAAGTGCCCGATGAATTTCTTCCGTTGATTATAATCCCTTCAGAGATAGTTTTCCTCCTGTTTTCGTTAATCGTAGCCACAGAAGAATCGAAGCAACTTCTTTTTATCATTAGGTATGAAATGAAAGACTTGCGCTTTGTTACGTAGTATTTTAAAGAGAATCATCGACGTTTTGCCCTTCATTTTCTCGTTCAAACGGTAAACTAAAACGAGGATGAGTCGTTTCAATGTTTTTATCGATGAACGTTGCGTATCCCATTTTGTTTGGTTAGGTATAAAAGGTAAGAGTGAGCGATAGCATCTGAGTTAGCATTATATATTGTAAAGAAATTGTTATATACTTCTTTTTTTATATCATCGAGTCGCAAGTGTAGGAAATTTAAAGTCTAAACTGACCTCGGATTCGGATCGATCAATATTCTCCTCGATCCGAAGATGTTCTTCGTCGAAAACAGCTTCGTTTCTTGTTTGATTTGCCTTTGATATTAACTTCTTTTCCACGTTTGTTTCTTCTTTGTTTGTGTCTTTCCAATCATTTGGATTTCTTATGGAATCATTCACTTTTGTTTCTTTCAAAGTGGTTACTTCGTAAACGAACGAATCGTTCACAGCTTTACCATTGAAAACAGGTCTGCGTAACGGTCTTCGATAACCTATAATTTTACGACGAGAATTTTGCGTTCTTTCAACTATTTTCGTTGAATTCTCTTGATTTTTGTTCAATCGATTCACGTAATAACGATTCTGGCCACGTCTCCGAAATTTACGACCAAATTCGTAATTCGAAGTAAATTTAATTTTTTCATCGTGGGTATTGAACACATTAATCGTCGTGTCGGTAACCGATGTTTCCACGGTGCTAGTCGAAGAAAGCGTCGTGGTCGATAAAATCGATTTGAATTCTCCGTCATTTTTTGTAGATTTTCCTTTATTTTGACTATTTATCGAATAGCTGTTTTCTAAATCCGCAGAATGCGTTGTATTCTCCATATATAATTCCGTTACATCTGATTCTAATAAGTTTGTATCAGTTGTAATATTGGAAGGTATCGCGGTTACAGGAATTACGGTATTCAAAATAGGAATATTCTGATCGTTGATTAGGGATTTTTTGGTCGTGGAATTAATAATCTCGGATTCATTAGAAGATTGGGAGGTAAGCATAGAAGGTGACGAATCGGATAAAGATGTGGAAATCGAAGAAGTTGTTACATTTTCTTCTGGAATTGAAATCCTAGTAAATTTCATTATCGATGATACATCTTTCTCTATTTGAACTTGATCCATTGAAACAGATGTGCTTTCCACTCTACCCTCGACTCTAGCTCCATTTCTATTATTTTTCATGGATAATTCGGTATTAAAAGTCGTGGTAACCTCAAGATTTTCTTCGGTGTTGTCATCGTGCTCGAGATCGGTAATCATTTTTCCATCTATATCGGATTGTCCAATTTTTTCAGCGATCCCAGAAGGTATATTTTCATTAGTCTCTACAGACAAGGTGGTAAATTCGGTAGTTAATGCATCGATCTTTACTCTTTTCGACGTTGAATGTTCCGTTTCGCTTCTAGTGACATAAAAACCACGCGGAACTTGGCTGTGCAGCAAATTGATCAATGGAATGCCACGCATAGTGGTAGGCTTCAGATTGATTTCTGACGAATCTTCACGATCGATTCTCTTCTTGTTAGCGAACGAAGTATCGTCCTCGATGTAATACGCGTCTATACTATCCGCGGTTAAATCTGATTGAAAATCATTTTGTATCTCGTCATCGTGCTTGTTCCAAGATCTAAGTTCTGTATCGTTGAAAATCGTATTCTTTTCAATAACCTCTTCGAGAACGCGATCAACATTTTTCTGTTGCGATAAAACCTCTTCGCTCTTCGCTGTGAGAGGAAACAAATTCAAGAATACGGGCGATGGACCGGTGGCGATGTAATTGTTCGTTTGATAACCGATTAGTTCCTTGAGGGTTGGCAGTCTATTAACTTCCGTGTTGGCCACCTGAAAATCAGAAGAGGGTAGTATACGCTTAATGATCTTCCGAAATCTTTCTCTTCGATCTCTCTCGTTCTCTCTTTCTTTCGATTATTCTTGCCAATTCCTTCTTGTCCTAAAGCGCAAGAGAGGGAGAGAGAAGGTAAAGAAAGCGGACGATCCTCTGCGTTCGCAAATCCATATAGATTCTCGTTGCATCATTTGCCTCGGTAACCGAGAGTTCTCGCACAAACGGTGAGTCGGTTAAAATGTATTTGGCGATGATTTGAAGGAGGGCAAGAGGAGAGTTCTCTCGATTAATCCGTATTAAATATCTGGTAAATTTTTAATGATGCGTAATAAGGATAATCGTGTCTATGTACATTGTTAATTAATGACGAATGGTGATAAGATGCGATATCACTTGGCGGAGTCCCTGTTTCCGATCAAATTGCTGAACACCGATTCGATCTCGATCGTGGACGATTCGTGAGACTCGGTGGTGAATCGTGACGGATAAAGGAATTCGCTCTCTATGGGCAAGGTGGATCTTTCCAAGTGACTTTGTCGAATTTCATTCATCGATTCGTCCTCATCGGATTTTTCCAACGTTATCCCGGGGATCGAGGATGACGTAACGACTGAATATTCCAATGGAACGACCGTAGCCTGAAGAGGAATTTTTGTGGTCGAAGTAAGCGAGGAATACTTGGTTTTAATCAGAATCTTTTGCCTTTCCGTGGTGCCCGATTCCTCCACGGACGTGACAAGTCTCGTTATCAGCGGTTGGGGAGAAGGCGTGGTCGTATAATCCTCTTCGACTACCAAGTTTCCTATCTCTGCTCGTTCTTCGTTCGAGTTCGTCAAAGTGGTCGAGTCTTCGTTCCGATTGGTCGTTCGAGAAGTGGTCGTTCGCAACGATTGTTGCTGCCTCCTGTGAGCATCCGCCGCATAGTCAAACTTTTTCGCTGGGATCAGGGTCTCGGTGACGGGTGTCTCCGTGGTGGAAACTGTCGGGCGTCTCGCGTAGAAACGCGTTCTCACTTGCGTCGAGGAATCGTAGCTGGGCGATTGCGTGGCATCCGGAATCGACTCTTCTTCGCTCTCTCGATTCCTCCTTATCTCTCTATACTTGTAACGCGTTCTCGGTTGTCGAAAATTTTGATACCTAGATCTGGGATTGTTCGCTTCTTCGGATTCGTTCGAATCCAGAGGGTAAACGTTTTCGGTGCTCAACGTTTTCTTGATAAACACCGGAACTCGGTATCGAGGACGAATCTCTGGCGATCGATCGCCAGTAGACGGTATCGGCTCATGCGTTCGATCCTCGTTCTCGAGTATCCTCGAGGTATCCTCAGAGGTATCCTCATCGAGTGTCGCGTTTCTCGTCAGAGGGGACGAGAGTTTTTCGATAATCGATGGGGTAGTGGTGTAGCGATTCGAAAATTCTTCCGATTCCTGATCGATGGGCGGAGTAGTGGGATACGAAGTTTCATCGTTGTTTCTCAGAGTAACCTCTTCCGTATCGAATCGCGGATCTCTCTCCTCGTCGTCGATCGTCGTTCTCGAAGTTGTTGAAGAAACCGGTCTACGACGAACGAACAAACTCTTTCTACGTTTCGAAACACCTTCCAATTTATTTTTTTCACTCGTGGACAAATAGCTCGAAGTCTCCACGATCGAATTTCGATCGTTGCTGTTAAAATTTTCCGAGGAAGAAGGAACAACTGGTCGCCTGCCCACGAATTTCCTTCTCACGTATTTCGAGTCTAAATAATACGTCCTATTGTACGCCTCTAATCTACGATTAGATTGAGAGATAGAAGCCGTTGAACTCGGCCAAGAAACGATAGTCGGCAATTCATTGGTCAATAATTTTTCATCCAAAATATCGTTCGAAAAGTTGGACGAAGTTGATTCCACGGAATCGGTTTCCGTCACCGTCGATTCCTCCGTCGTCGATTCGCTCGCTATAGCTGTAACGTTATCGATTATCGTGGAGGCCATCGTGACAGGATCGAAATCGAACGAGCTCGTGTCGTCACCGAGCACGCTCTCAACGGTTGTTGGTGTTTCCAAAGTCATTGCAAAGTCGTCGGTTATATCGATCGTCTCCGTAACGGTTACCGCTGTTGCCAAATTTTCCGTTGACGCGTCCGTGATCGTACTTATCCCCTCCTCCTCCTCCTTCGGAGTCATGGTGGATACGAGGCCGACGAATAAAATTTGCTCGGTAGATGGCACGTCTATCGCAGATGTCGCGTTTTGAACAGGGCGAAGACGTTTGATCACCTTTCTTCTTCGCGTGTGCGGTCTACTCTCTCGTTCCACGGACATTTGCGTAGTGGTGACGGGTCGTCTTCTGAGAAGAACCTTCCTTCGCCTCGGATGCAAGGCGTTTGTGTTCTCCTCGTTAATCGTCTCGCTGATATTATTCGCGATTTTTATCACGTTCGTGTCAACGATTTCATCGTCTTCCATCGTCGTCGCATCCAATCCTTCCGTTCGATGATCGTCCGTCACCTCGGTGATTACCTCGTTTTCCATCGTCGATTCCACGGTACGTGGTTCCATTGTGCTCGTTTCGAGATCGGTTGTGGTTTCCTGCGTTGTTATCGACGTCGTTGTGGTCGTCGTTTCTATCGCGACTTCGTCTATGGAGTTGAGGATCGGTCGTTCCGTCGTGGTCAGTGACACGGTTACGGCGTCGTTCGTGGTACGATCGAGGAAGGACGGGGGAGGAGACGACGTTGTGTCAGGCGTGGAAACGTTATTTCTCTTCCTCGTGTACCTCGTTCTGGCATACACGTCCCTGTTCACCTGCCCGATCGGCGTTTTCAATATCTTTATATTGGTAATCTTCTCGATATCCCCGTCCTCTTTAACCGCGTTCCTCGATCTCGAGGATAAGCTTCTTCTCGGATAAGCTTGAACGATCCTCACGATGGGGCTGTCCTCGAGCTCGTTGGCTCTCGTGGACTCGGTAGTGGTGGTGGTGATTGTGGTAGTGCTAATTTTAGAGGCCGGCCGACGAAATCTTCTCCTAGAAGAACCTCCCTCCGTGTTGAGAGGAGGTTCCGTCGTGGCTCGAACGCGTTCTCCTTGGAGCGTGGAATCGGAAGAGGTGGAGCTCTCGTTTCTAAGTTTGAAGGTGGGCGGTGTGTATCTGCTCGCTCCCCTGATCCTCGACGAGGGTCTCGCGCGTGTACGAGCGGGCGCCCCTTCATCGCCCTCGTCGTCGTGGGAACTTTCCACGTTTCGACCATGCTTCTCCTGCCTTGGTCTTAATCGACCTCGTCCTACCAAAAGGGACGAGCGCGTGTTGTTTCGCGACG